GGATGGATCTGAGAATGAGAGAATGATACTGGCTCCAAATTCTCCCCGACTAGAGAGATTATGAAGAAAAAGAATTGAGAACTCTACATCAAGCCAAGCTTTTATTTCTTGATTCCCACAATTAGCACTGCACAGAGTTAAATTACACATATAAAGTCTGACATGTTTGTTTATCCACAAGTCATCTATAAAGTAAGTGGGAGGGGAGATATCCAATTTAAATTAAAAAGGCACGTGTGGTAAGAAATTTGAGACCATTCTTCTCCTTTCCTCCCTGTGTTCAGTTGCCCAAGACACTTTGCTCCCAGCCTGGCAGATTTATTATAAGAGTTGGGGTGATAAATGAGCTCCCCACACCCATGCCCTCCTTTGGAAACAAAACCAGACACACTTCTACCATCTTTTCGTTTTACATGAATGAGCCAGACAATTGAATGGCTGTCCCATCATGTCTGGTTGGGTCCACAGAATTTCTCTTGCAATTAGAAGAGCTTGTTTTCAATACAAGCTAAAAATGGGATAGCCTTTTCACAGAATTGCCAGGACCTCAAGTGGGCTGTGATTTGAGTCTTTCCCAGACCATAGCAAGCTGAGAAAAAGAACAGCTGTCTGAAACACACAGGCAGACAGTTCCTGGGCTGAAACTCTGGAGGAGTGGATAGGTATGTCCTCCTGCGCCAGACACTCAGCCCATGGCCCCCAACACCTCCAGATCATTCCACTGAAATTCTTTGGCAAAGATAAGATAAACGATGATGTAGATTAGGGTTTTTCAAACTGTGTTTCATAGAACCTAGGGTTCTGCAAGAATTTGAGGGGGTTCCATGAGAGACTAAGGGCAAAAAAAAAAAAGAAAAGAAAAGTTCACTTGAACACAGTCAATTCTCAGTCACTAGAACTATATCTCATTATTAGTGTTGCTCTAGGAGTTTTGGGGGACCTTTTTGGAGGGAGGGGGAGTAATAGTTTCCATGACCTGAGGAAGTTTGAAAAACCCTGATATAGACAAATCATGTGTGGGATCTGTAAGTCATTCCACAGCTTTTCCCTCTTTTTGTGGGGGGAAAAAATCAGAAGGGTCTGCACACATGTAGAAGTCTCCATGCATGCAGAGTGGAGACATCTCAAAACAAGTTCACTTAGGGCAGCAGTAAGCAAACTCCAGATGTTTCAGGTACCAATGTCTATTAACTTCAGCCAGTATGGTAATGGCAAGGTGGTGTGGGACTTGTACATCTGGAGGGTACCAGGAAGATTATTTCTGGTTTAAGGCAAACTGTGTGGCATATACAACTCTGTCCTCTTAAGACCATGCTATATCCCTGCACTGGTTGCCTGAAGTTGCCTCTTCATTCTGTCTGAGAATAGGGCTGGTCCTGAATAGAAAGGGTGGGCAGTCATTTCACCAAGGCTAACAGGCATCAACAACCTTTTCAGGTTCAGGTTCCATCACCTATCGTAGGAGACTTAATGATTTTGTGAGATTTTGGCCACTGTAATTTTTTAGAATTAATTCTAATTTAATTGCAGGAGATTGTGGTTTCATTCTAAGGCTTGACAGATTCCCTGACAGCTTCCTTACTGCATTGTGACTCACTCCCAGATTAGTAAGTACAGTATTTGGTTCAAATTTGCATGTGAACTGTGCATCATAAGTAGCACTGAAAATTCCTTTCCTAAAAAAATTATAAAAGACTCTCAATGGTATTAAACTTTTTTTGTTGTTGTTTAACATAACTGCTGGAATGGGGGAGCATTTTTTAAAGGTGAGGTGAAGCAGCACGCAGGAAATAGATGTCAGCCTTTACTTCTATAGCTAGGACCTTCCTGCAACCTGTTTCCCCTCTTCTCCAGAATTACAATTCCTAGACCCCCAGGTGAGGGGAAAGCATTGCTACACCAGAATAAGCCCGTTCCATAAATCAAATCCTGCCATTTAAAGCAGGATCAACTACAATTGTATACAAATTGTATTGCCAAAGTGCTGTGGCTCTCAGCAGCCTGCAAACTTTGGGCCAGTGAGAGGACAGTACCTTAGCATCTGGTGGTCCTGCTTCCTCTCGAATCAGCAGCAGATGGCTCTGTCCATCCACCACCACCTCCTTCTTGAACTGCCCCCCTGAAAAATAGAAGGCGGCAAAATATTAATTCAGGTAGCATTTATTTTTTAGATTTATATTACACTTTTCCTCCAAGAGCTCAAGGCAACATGCATAAGGAGGACAGCCTTCTCTGCCATTGCCCCCACCCTATGGAACATTCTCCCCCCAGAGGTGAGGTGGGCCCACCACTCTCCCGGCCTTCCAGAAAGAGGCTGAAGACCTGGTTCTGCCAACTCGCGTGGGGCAAGAAGAAATACAATCAACCCTGGGGTTAGCTGGTGCCTTGAAGACCCTCCCCGAGTCTAATAACTCTTAGTGAACATCAGTCTCTTGGAAGCATTAGATAGGAATCTTGTTGTGGTAGTGTATTTTAATTAATATTTATTCTATTTTAATTAACATTTATTCTTTTTACTGTAAACTGCCCAGAGTCGCTCTGCAGTGAGAAGGGTGGTGACAAATTTGAAAAACAAACAAACAAACAAACAAATAAATAAATCTCCCTCCTCAATCCTGCCCCCCTCCCCAACTAAGAAGGGGGGGCTGGTATAAATTACCCCAAGTCACCCTCTGAGCTACTAGGGCTGAGTGTGAAATGGAAGTTGGGTCTCCTGCTTTTTATTCTTTCCAACCTAATGAAAGGTTTGGAAGAAATGATGTAAAGGGATTCAGGACTTTACCTATCTGCCTGCCTGCCAGCAGGAATACTCTCCCCAAAAGTACAGAGTGAAACCAAACTTGATGTAAGGGGAAAAGTCAGCAAAAGAACGATTAAGCTAAAAAGTGGGCTGGAAGGTGTGGAGGGAAAAAAAAAACAGTGCATCTTTATGGAATGTTGCTGACTGTTTCATTCTCAGACATCCTCCCTCCTAGTCATGCGCCCCAAGACCCTGCAGCTATTAAGGATGGGAAAGAATTCCAGAAGCCCTGCAGATTTTCTCTAACTCACTGTTTCTCAACCTCAGCAACTTTAAGATGTGTGGACTTCAATTCCCAGAATCCCAGTAAATTCTGGAAGTTGAAGTCCACACATGTTAAAGTTGCTGAGGTTGAGAAAGACTGCTCTAACTTATTAATCCAGTAGTTCAACCCTCCACCCCACTGGCTGAACCATCTGTCTGAATTCCTCAAGGCAAACTGACACAACTCAGTGTACCACTCAAGCTTGAGAAGGCTGGGAGGGACCTTCTGGTCCAGCCATCAAGCGCTCCCTTCTTGTGAAATATGTAAGAGGTAGATCAGGTGACAGACCTTCTCAGTGGTGGCCCCTGCTTTATGGAATATCCTCTCCCTGGAGGTGCAGATGGACCCAAATCTGCTGGGACTTCGTAAACAACTCAACCGGTTTGTTCCAGGGTGTGTGTTCAGTCCGTAGATTAGTTTAGTTTTAAGGGCACCTATGATGCTTTTTAATGACTTTTAATATTTCTTTAACTGTTTAGACTGAATGTTTACTTTTGCTGCACCCTTTGCACTTGACTTTGTTATACCCTTCCCAAGTCTGCTAGGATTGGGGCAGATTATATATGTATGTAAAAAAAAAATGCTTATTTTTTATTTAATCCAATTTTGAGGCCGCCCGACTCGGGGTGGCTTACAGATAAGACAAAAGAAAAACAATACATATAAAAGAGAACATGGTCTCACTTACTCACTCTTAGTTCAGAAAGGAAATCTAAAGTAGAAGGACCTCCCCTCAGTGAAAGGGCGCTTGGTCTGCCTGTAGAAAGTTCCTCAGAACTGCTATTTCTGAGTTTTAGGTAGCAGACAATAATAGGAAAGACCTATCCACCCTTTGTCTGAGTCCCTGGAGAGCTCCAGCCAGTCAAAGCAGACCACATGTGGCTAGACAGAGGAACTACTTCAACTGGTATAAGGCAGCTTTTTACGTTTCCTGTCTGAATAAAACAGATTGGTTTTCTCCATTCACCTCCCTCCTGCCTGCCCCCTTTGGGCTCCCCAGTGTTGAAGCTTTGTGAGGAAAAGAACAATCCCAAAGGGCTGAGTGAAGGCTTGGCCACAGAGAAGATACTTCAGTTTGGGGAGAAGGAGGGAGCTCACCTTCTGCAGGTTCAAGGCCCAAGTAGGAGCCAGTCAAGTAGCGGTGAACCAGGGCTGATTTGCCACTCTTGATGGTCCCAAGGACACCCTGTGGAGGTTGAAGAACACAAGTCTTTTCAGGATGAAACTCACCCTCTTTGGCTTTTTGGAGCTGTTAAGGTAGCGTTTTCCTCACATTTGATGCCCTCCACTGAATTATTGGAGAACAACTCCCATCACACTGCTAGCCAGCATGGGTAGGGCCTTTAGCCATGCTGGCTGGGAGCGACGGGAGTTGTAGTCCCAATAAGATGGGTGGGGTGAGATCAAAGGAGGCTGCTTTAGAACCCGTTGCCCTCACCATTCAGGTGCTTTATTCTTCACCCCCAAATTGTGGTTCATCACCAAGTTTGCAGTTCTCAAGAGCGATGAGTCCCCTTATGAAAGGGTCCCCTAAGGAGGAACAGGCAAATCTGTTTATTCTGGTCAATATTGCTTTTATTGGTGTTCACATTTCCATTCCTGTATGTAATGGTATGTGGGAAAGACCTTGGGAAACAGCAAAGAGATGCTGCCTAGGGAACAGTCAGATAAGAGAGAGCATAGCCCACAGCTGGATAGAGAGTAGAACAAGAAGTTCAGAAGGGACCCTCCCTAGCTTTTCAGTAAAGGAGACAGCGAGAGAACTGTACTTTCAGACTTGCAAGATTCTGTTAATGTAACTTTACAATAAAGTAGAATTAGCTCATCTGGTCATGTTTCCTGTCTGGTCTACCTGGTTAGGCTGACACATATGTCTTGTAAAGCATATTTTAATAAGCTGTGGGATCCAAGAATATTCGTGAAGTGGAAAAACTGCTGGAAACCTAAGTTTCAGTCCTAACATGAATCCAGGATTGAGTCCATTTGTAATAAAATCTGCAAAGATCCAATTCTTCAAGCCTCTGCTTTTGAGGACTGATAAGCAGCAGAACAGGGAACAGAAAGGTAAAGAGAAAATGGAAGCCATGCTTGTTACCAACTCATCTGCCCACCCATTCCATCACTCTACTCTGAGGTCAAGCCAGCTCCAAAACTACTATAATGCATTGATTACTTCATACTTAATTATTAGCATCAATGTTAAGTCAGCATTATCTAAGATTAGAGAATCTGCATGTTAGATAGACAGACAGGCAGATGATAGATATAGATAGGTGATAAATAGATAGATAGGGAATAGCTAGATGTTTTGTGTCATTTCCTTAGGGAATCTGTGGCTCACTAGATGTTTGCTGAACTATAACTCCCAGCAGTCCTCACTATTGCCCTTGCTGGCCAGGTCTGCTGGAAGCTCCCAAAAGGGCCACCAATTCTTGTGTCTGAACTAGCTCCATCAGTGAGTGGTCATTTACAAAAACATTAGAGGACAGATTCTTGTCCCGAAGAACTGCAGTTTAAGGAATAAATGTGTGGTACCGCGAATCAGATACCAATTAGGAATAAAGGTGAATGAACTCTTACCAAGCGTAGCTCAGGGATGGAGCGGCTAAGGGTCCATTCTTGGCTATTTGCAACAGCCTCTAAAGAGAAAAGGAAGAAAGGAAGGGAAGAGAGAGATATATAGATTAATAATAAATAGTAACTATAGTGCTATAGTTCCTGCAACAGCTGCCTAAGGCAGTGGTGGTTGTTCCCACACTGCAGGTAGAAGAAGCTTCAGCAAATAATGGTTCTCAGCACTCGTGCAGCAAGTTCACAACCATTCTAAAATGCAATTTTAATTTGAACTATGTTGGCTCACAGTTCACATGTGGGACATCAGGTTTCCATCAGCACCCACCCGACAAGATAGGCCATTCCCTCTTGATCTCCACACAGAGTCAAATAACATCTTTACAAGTTCCCTATTTTTGGCTTTCTTTTAGTGGACAGGAAATTCAGGACCAAATACTTGATTGTGATGGCAAGACTGCTAAAAAGAAACCCAGCAATGAGTCCTTCTCCTCACGTCCCATCAGCTGCTCTATAGGGACAACTCACTCCACCCTTTGGCTCTCCCACGCGCAACAGTCAGTTCTTTGTGCTCCTTTCAAGGAGGCAGGAAGAACAGGGAAGGCAGCTGCAATGGGGTGTGCAAGGACAATTCTTGGGACAAGAGTCACAGCAATGGGGTGCACCCAGCAGAGCATAAAGAGCCCGTTCAAGAAACGGTTTGAGTGGCAGGGAAGGCACAAAGTGAAACTAGAGGCAGGTGTTTGGGCTGGTGCCTTGGAAAAGCGACTGAGAGACAGGTCCGGGCTATTTCTTCATTGCTGGTGGCCAAGGTTTAATCTGCCAGTTCTCAGCTTTACCAAATTTCCAAAGCGTTCAGATACTTGGGGGTGGAGGGGATGACCTTTGCCAAGGCTGACATTTATGCAGAGCAAGAGATGGTATGCAAGGAGATAAAGAAGCAATAGATATGTAAGCAGATCAAAGAGAAAACGTACCACACGTAGAAGGGGGAACAATCAGATAAATATCTAAACCTAAATAGACCTTAGTACTATATCTGCTTTCCTTAAATAGTTTAAGTCTGAATAAAGAGGAAGTCGCTGAACATGCAAAGAGGACTTTTCCTCACTAAAACAAATCTGCCCTTGTGCCGAAGGATTCGAAGTCTGACACTGCAGCTCTCAAACAGATTTTTCTTCTCCAGGTTCACTCTTTTTAGAAACTAGCGACAGAGTGAGGAAAGAAGCATCTAGACTTAGGACTGTATATCAGCACTGAACATGTTGATTCATGTTTTCTCATCTGGAAAGGTAAGCAATTTGATTCAGATAATTTGGACGTCAAATCCTATTCGCCACAGCCAACGTGGCCAATGGCAAAGGGTGTACAAAAGGTAGCGTTCAGAACATCTGGAGGGCAGCAGGCTTGATAGATTTAAAACGCACGAGCCAAAGAGCAAAATCCCATAATGTACCATGTGTGCTTGCATGCTCGTTCATGCTCTTTTCCAGCCTCGCTGAAACAGCTGTGCAACATGGCTCTACTATTTGCATATCCGTGCAGATGCTCCGTGTTGTTCTGCAGCAGGTCCAAAAGTCCCAGCCGTGGAACTACACCAGCTTCACCAGGCCGCCTGCAGAGCTCTCTGTGGGCAAAGAACACTTCTGAGGGTCCACTGCACCCGCTGAGGTCATCAAGGTCCAACTCCCTGCCATTTTTAAAGCACATTAAAACTCTTGCCATCATTTCGTCAGTTGTAGTTACGTGCACTCTGGGCTAAGTGGCCATTTGTGATTATTTTCAGACCACATGGTCCTTATTTCTAAACATTAATGTGCCAAGGTTTAAACATGCTTGGAATCAAGAAGCCCTCTAGCCTGAAAAATAAGCTCATTGGACTATATATCGGCAACGGCATTGGAGAAATGTGAATAGCAGCGGCAGGGTGTGCTCCGTGTTTGCTCAGAGGTGCTATGTGAATGCTCATGAGAAGGTACCGAATGCCTAAATTACAAAAGGAAAAGGTGAGGCTGGCACCAAGTTGGCTTGTAGTTGAGTGCAGCCTCACATCCATCCTACCTGGCAAGAATCAACTTCCACACAAGACCTGAAACAGGAGGAGGAGTTCAAAGCATGCCCAAGCAGGAGAAAGTTGAGTTGTCGAGCAAAGGAAACCTCTTCCCTGAACATAGATAGTACTATAAACCTAACTACACAGAACATACATCCGATACGTTCCAGGTTCCTGGGGTAACCCTAACCTAGTGGATTTGGATTAAAGCTAAGCCAGGTGTGAATTCAACTGAATGGCTTGAATCAAATCTGAAACCGAATTCCAGCCCTGTCCTCCTTGTACAGAATATTGCTTCCAGTGAGTTATTTCTGGCATTAAAATGGTTGACTGCTGTCCGTTGTCTCCTGTGAAGAAGGTTTGGTTACTGTTTTATTGAACATGTGAATGGGCATGAGGGGCCTACATTGACAGACAAACAAAACTACAGCCCAAGATTGCAGGGGGTACTTTCTGGGGGCACGGGAAGTTGCTACGGTAATAGAAATGACTACAAGCCAGCGCACGTTCAAAACATTACCACTTGTAGGGAATATTAGCACAATTTGTAATATACGAACCGATCCTTCCCCTTCCAAACCAGTTTCTCCTTACGCACTGGGGTGGAAAAGTAGTGAAAGCTTTCTTCTCCTGCAACTTCCCTATATTTAAATCCTGGTGGTAAGGTTCTCTGACTGAACTGCCCTTACCTTGGGCATCTGAGCATCAAGGTAAATGCAGATGGCCATACACAAAAACACAGCTAAAGCCTTTTCTTGCTCTCTGTGTTGTGTGTGTTAACTTGAAACTGTTGCTTAGCAACGGCTCCCTGCATATCACCAAGGTAACCAAAGAGAAAAGGGGACAAGGAGTGCAGACCCTGCTGGTCTTTTGCTACAGAGCCCCAAAGGGCATCACTTACTACTCACTCAGAAGCAAAGTGACCCCTCCAAATTTGACCTGTCTACTTGACCCCCACTGGCAAGTCAAGTGCCCCTTTTCAACAGCAGTACAGACAACAAAAGTGCCTTCTTCTTTTGCTAGCTTATTGACCCACCAGAATTATTTGGCAGGTCCAGTATAAGGAGAGCCCAATTAGGTTGTGTACCTGGTTGATCTTGGCTGAGCTAGAAAGCTAAGCAGGATTGACCCTGGTTAG